CATCCGAATTTCCACGTATCTATGCTTCGGAGTTATCATGCCGACATCTCACATGTGTTAGGCTTCAGCACGATTCAGTTAGATGAGAGCCTGGGTTATGAGGAAATGCCAGTTGCCATTGTTGATAGGCAAGTTCGCAGTTGAGATCCAAGAGGATTTCCATGGTAAAGGTTTAGTAGAGGGGCCAGCCAGTCAAGAAGGTGACTTGGGAGTTCGATGAGGACATGCAGAGCTGATATCCACACTTATTTAGCACTCCAGGTAAGATTCTAGACCAGTTCGAGGATGAATGTTTGTTTAAGAGGTGGAGAATGTAATGACCCGACCGGTCATTTTGCTTTTTGGAACCCTGTTACCCTAAATAAGACTCCCCATACGTGTTTTTACTATTTTATAACTTTCGAGGATGATTAGTCGGGATTTGGAAGGGTTCGAGCTGAAATCAAAACACTTGGTTCCTTAAGGTTGGCTAAAAAGGCTAAGTTTGACTTCGGTCAACATTTTAAGTAACGACCTCGGAATCAGGATTTGACGGTTCCAATAGATTCGTATAATAATTTCGGACTAGGCATATATTCAGATTAGGTTTTGGACGATCTGGGAGAGTTTCGGCACCTAATAGTGAAAGTTGGCTCTTTGAATGTTTTGAAGTTCTGTAATTTGGTTTAGAGTAGGTTTTGGTGATATCGATGCACAAATGGAATTTCGAGACTGGGAATAATTCTGTATTGTAACGACAAGCCGGTCCTTTTGAGATCTAGCGCGTCGTTCGGTGGTTTGACGTAATGAGTAGCTTCACTTCAGGCATTATGACTTTTACGCGTGGTCGGAATTGAATTTCGGAAAAGTTTGGAGTTGATTTGGAAAGAAAATTCTAATTTCGGAAGTTTTAAGTGGAGGAATTGACTAAGGTTTGACTTATGAGTAAATGACCTCGAAATCAGGATTTAAAGGTTCCAACAGATTTATATGATGATTTTGAACTTGGGCGTATGTTCGGGTCGGGTTTTGGATGACCCGGAAGCGTTTCAATGCCTATTGTGGAAAGTTGGAATTTTGGAAGAATTTTATAAATTTGTGTTGAAGTGTATTTCAATGTTATCGATGTCTGTTTGGGATTCTGAGCCTGAGAATAGCTCTTTATGGTGATTCTGGTCTTAGGAGCACATCCGGATGTGGATTTGGAGGCTCGTAGGTCATTTCGGGGTCATTTAGCGAAAGTTGAAAATTTGAAGGTTTTTGAAAAGTTTGACCAGGTGTGGACTTTTTGATATCAGGGTCGGATTCCGATTCTAGAAGTTGGAGTATGCCTGTAATGTCAAATGTGACTTGCGTGCAAAATTTGAAGTCAATCGAACGTGATTTGATAGGCTTCGGCATCAAATGTAGAAGTTTGAAGTTCTAAAGTTCATTAAGCTCGAATTGGGGTACGGTTCATGGTTTTGACGTTGTTTGATATGATTTGAAGGCTCAACTAAGTTTGTAATGTGTTTTGGGATGTGTTGGTATAATTGGTTGAGGTCTCGAGGGCCTCGGGTGGATTTCTGATGGTAAACGGATCGAGTTTGGGCTTGGAGGAATGCTGGAGCTGTTGTCATCTGGTGTAACTGCACCTGCGAGGTTTTGGCCGCAGGTGTGGAGCCGCAATAACGGCCAGGAGGGTTGTAGAAGCGGTTCTAGGGGAACTGGGTAGGAGCGTAGGTGCAAGAGAACATCCGCATCTGCGAAGCCACAGATGCAGAGAGGAGATCGCAGAAGCGCTATTTGGGCCGCAAAAGTGGAGGCTGCTGGGTTGAGTTAGAGTCGCAACTGTGATGGATTTTCCGCAAGTGCGCAGCCACAGGAGCGACTATTGGACCGAAGGTGCGAAGGTCGGGCTGGGCAGTGTGCTTCTTTAAAATGAGGATTTGGCATAACTTCACTTCATTTCGTCCATGGGAGCCGATCTTTGAGCGCTTTTAGAGTTCCATCTTCATCAGCTTTAATAGGGTAAGTGCTTTCTTCACATTGTGAGTTAAATACATGATTTATATATGTATTTAAGCATGAAATTTTTAGAAATTGGGATTTTGGGTAGAAAACATAAAAATTTGTATTTTTGAATTTTGACCACGAAATCAGGCATGGAATTGAGAATAAATTATATATTTGAGTTTGTAATGTTATGGGTAATAGTTATCTTTAAAACAATTTCGGAATTCGGGCACGTGGGCTCGAGGGTTGCTTTATCGACTTTTCGAGCGGAGTTGAAAAATTATTTAAATCGATTTGTTATGAGTATTAGAGTATATTTTTATTGCTTTGCACATTGTTTGACTAGTTTTGGAGCGATAGGCACTGGTTTGAGGTGTTTGAGCGGCTCTGGAACCGGTTATGGAATTTCAGAGCGAGGTAAGTCTCTTGTCTAACTCTGTGATGGGGAAACTACCCCTAGGTGATATATTTAATATGTGTAACTTGTTGCGGGGATTACGTACGCATGAGGTAACGAGAGTCCGTACGTAGTTAGATTCACATTATTGTCCGGGTAGACTTAAGTTCACACCATGCTATACTTGCACTATAGGGATTATCCTTGCCCATTTAATTCTTTTATTTTGCATTACGAATTGAGACTAGACATGCGTAAAGTGATAGACTTGTTATTGTAGAGATTTCATGAGTTTCATGATTTGCCACAAAATAATGGTGTTCCTCTTATGGAACTCTTGCGTGCTATGCGTTTTCATCGAACGATTTTCCTTAAAAATTATAACTGATCACACGTTTATTCGTGAGTAGGGGTTAAGGACCCGTTTAAGCTTCTTATTCTAATGGGATCGGGTCGTTCGTCTCGGCAGTTTAATAGATGTATCTATGGTTCGTGCCATTCGACCCTCGGTTGTGCACAGATTATGATGGCATCGGGTCGTACGCCTTGGCATTTCTATAAAATATTTTCATGAAATCGTGCATAATATTTGGCAAGAAGCCATTGTATCATTGAGTTTTCCCTGAGTTGAATTATTACGACCTATTTGGTGAGGTCCATTATATATATACCTATATATGCTCCGTTTAAGGAGGAATTTACTAATTTAGAGCCTGAGTTTATTGTAAAAGAGAGTTGTACCACATATTTATACTTGTTTATTTCGTTTATTAACTCTGTCTCATATTTGTTTACCTCTTTATTATACCTGATATTATTGGACCATTAGTAAGTGTCGATGTCAACCCCTTGTCGCTACTCCTCCGGGGTTAGGCTAGATACTTACTGGGTACACATTGATTTACGTACTCATACTACACTTGCTGCACATTTTTGTGTAGGTACATTTATGTCTGGTGGTCCTTTGGGCGCGGAGGCGCGGATGATGTGGGGATTTATCGTAAGCTGCATTTCATGTTACGTTCCGCAGCCAGCAGAGTCTCCTTCAGAGTTATTTATATTTTTTCTGTCTAATTTATATTCCGGACAGATGTTGTACTTTATTTTACTTCCTAGTTGATGCTCATGCACTTGTGACACCTGATTTTGGGGGTGCTTATGGGTTATTCATTAATGTAGTTGCGAAAATATTTTCATTCACATTTGTAAATCCCATGTTATACTATGTAATTAAAGAAAATTATGATTTCAAATACTAACATTAGTAATTAAGATAATCATTTATTGTTGGCTTTCTTAATAGCGGTGTTAGGAGCCATCACGACCTTTAATAGATTTTGGGTCATGAAACATATGGTGATCTAAGATATGCACGTAAAATTTGGTGTCATTCCGAGTAGTCTGAGTATGACTCTGCACGTTCAGAGCGATTTGGAAACTTGAAGTTCATATCTTGATTCAATTTGGTTTTGGGGTGTGATTCTTTGTTTTGTTGTTGTTTTATGCATTTCGAGATTTTGAGCAAGTCCGTATTATGTTTATAGACTTGTTGGTATAGTTGGACGGGGTCCCGAGGGGCTCGGGTATGTTTCGGACCGCCCAGAGCTAAGTCGAGGAAACCAGATTTTTCCAGTTCTGGTTTCCTTCTTCGCAAACGCAGGAGGGCCATCGCATTCACGAAGAAGGATTTGGGCAGTGGGGTGAATTTCCCTTCATGTTCATGAAAGCCCACTAGCGTTTGCGTAGAAGGAAGGAACCTGNCCTTCGCGTTCGAGAGGCCCTGGTCGCGTTCGCGTAGGCCAAGATTTTCATGTTCCTGGGTCGTTGCCTTCGCGAATGCGAGGCCTCTTCTGCATTCGCGAAGAAAAAGGCGGCTAGGCAGAGAGTTTTAAAATCGGGAATTAGCCATTTTTGGTTTCATTTATTGCACTCTTGGGAGATTTTGGAGCTTCAAAAAGGAGGATTTTGGCCTAGTTATTGTTGGTAAGTAATTTATACCTAGTATGAATTTAATACATAGATTATGGGTATATTTTAACATATAAATTTGTGAGATTTATGGGTCAGATGAAAAACCTAGGTTTTTGATAAAAATAGAATTTATCCACGGAAACTGTTATGAAACTTAGTGAAAATCATATATTTGAGTTCATGAGGTTATGGGTAACAATGTTCTTCAAAAATTTTCAGAATCCGGGAATGTGGGCCCGGGGTGAATTTTAGGAATCCTATAATTGGAGTTGGGTAATCACTTTTGTGAGCACCTAATTTTTGACTATATTTGAGTTTTTCATCACTTTTAGTAAATAATTATATTTTAAGTTTAATCTAATATTTTAGCTCTTATTTGTCCTTTGATATATAATTTATTTAAGAAAATTGAAAAGATTAACAAAAAGAGTCACATTTTATTTATTCATTTACAAATAAAGAAAAGGTTTTCCAAAAAAAATATATATTAGTTTGTTAAGTAAATTTTGAGTGATTAGTATTTTTATCTTGCTATTCAAGTCTAGGAGTAGTATTTTTATCAAAATCACAAAAAAGGAAAGAAAGTTTTAATTCGGACTATTTCTATTAAAGTCTTGCTTTGTCCAAGTCATGTCCCAAAGTGGGCCAAACCTGAGTCCAATAGACAATAACCCATCAGATTTCCTCCTCCCAAAACCCTACATTTTTTATATCTCATTTCTCTCATTCAAGAGGAGCCGACTGTTTTTCCCCTCCTCGAAAATCTAATTTGCAAAAAATCATAACTCCACCTCACAAAATCCGGCTAACCTCACACCACAATCAGAATACACACACAAAAAATAGGGAAAAGATATAGAGAGTGACGAGATACAGCGAGGGGAATCTGGACCAAAAAAATAGAGAAGGAAAAAGGGGTGAGATCGAACTAAGACAGGGAAAAAATAAAAAAGATTTAAGGTAAGAATTTTCTTGATTTCTGCTCTTGGATCCCACAAGAAAGATTCTGAACCTTTATTTGTTGTAATTTTTTGTTTCTTGTATTAGTTGAGTGCAATTTCAATTGGGCTCAGAATAATTTTTGTGAAAGATTCTGTGTAGCTTCTTAATTTCCTTACTTGGTAGTATGAGCTAGTATTTTGTGTTCTTGAATTGGAAGTAGTTGTAATTTCATGCAAAGATTGAATCTTTTGGGGTATTTTTGTGTTGTGAATTATATGATTTGGTAATTATATATTACTGTTTAGGGGTTGTGTGAGCACGTGATTTTTGCCCTATGTGAATTACTCCCATAAAATACAAGAAAAATAAATTTTTCCATTATTTGCAATATTGTAGGATTTTGTGAGAATTTGCGCTAATTGTTTGCATTTCTGTGCATGTTTGTTTCTATTTAAATCATGAAAAGTACAAAAAAAGCATCATGCATCGCATTTAGGTTATTCTACAGTTCTAGGATTAATTAATCAGTTATTTGTTTTGTTAAAAATGAAAAGCACAAAATTGGCTCGTTTTTACAATTATTATCTTTAATTTTAGATTGTTGATGTTTCTCTTTTAATTTAGGATTAGATAATTTTTATAAATTTTCCATTTTGATAATTAGTTTAATTTCACAACTTGGATTAATTGGGGGTAATTTAGGATTTTTATTAATTAAGAAAGAAGAAAAAGAAAAAAAATTGAAAAGAAAAAAGAATTAATTATAAAACAAAGAGAAGGAAAGTTTGAATTTGTTTTAAAACCCCAAAATTGGGCCAATTTGGTGGAAACCCAAACTATTCGGTGGCCCAATGCAACCAGGTCCAAAGCCTTCAGCCCATGAGACCCTAAAACGACGTAGTATAAGAGGAATACTACGCGTTTTGAGTTCGTTAGTGTTAAGCTAATCTTGGCCCTTCATTTTATCTCATCTAATGGCCCTAAAGACTTCCCCCATTTTAATTAAAATTGTCCAAATGCTTCAGATTAACCTAGGATTTCTGCTCTTCATCTCCCTCACACCCTATCTCTCACCACCGTCCGCCACCCATCGGAAATCGCCAGCGGCGGCGGTTGACCTCAAAACCCCTTCAAATCTTGACCATGTAACCTCCGGTGCACCTCCATTCCAAATCCACCCTTGTTTTCTCTCCCAAACCACACCATTCTCTCCAGATCAGAGATCGAAGTTAGCACTGAAAATCCCTTCACCCCTTTTCTTCTGATTTTCGCCCACTCTAGTTTCTTCTTGGTGTTAAAATGTGTGAATCAACTAATTTCGATGTGGAAAAGCCAATTGGCTGAGGGCTCGATCTGTGCATGGTGGCCAAGTTTGGTCAACAGTCTCTGATAGGCCTTTATCTCTATTTCCTCTTCGTTCTTGACTCGTGATGGGGACTGTGACAAAGAGCACAAGCCATGGAAGAAACTCCAGCTAGTGCTCATTGTTACAGTTCACACCATGGGGTTGAGATTCTTCACGCCGGATGTCATCACCTGTGAGCCATCGATCTAGCCGGTACTTCTCTTCTTCTTCCTCTCAGTTGGGTTTAGAAATCGCAGGTTTTTCAGTCGTTTAATTAGGTAATAATAATAGGTTAAAAAGCAATTAAATTCTCTGTTAGTATTTGTTAATTTTCCTTTTTCCTTTTTACTTCTTTTTTTATTTATTATTCTTATTCGGCTTCGTTAAGAAGATTTCATGTTACTAGAATTCAGAATTGGGTTCTTTTGGATTTCTTATTTTTCTTATGAATTCATTGGTTTAGACTTGAACCTGGGTTTGCTAGTAGCCCAAAAAACGGGTTGAAGTTCATTTGGTGCAGAAGCCCAAAGATATTTGGGCGGTTTGGCCCAATGTCTATGTTAAAGTAATTACCAACCTTATAAAGGGTAGTTTAGAGAATTTAATAATGGGAATCTTCCTTAAACCACTTAAAAAATTTTCAGGAAGGTGGGATTGGGGGTAGATTAACAAACAGGTTTTAACTACAGGGTCCAAAATGAAAAAATTAAAATTGGGGAAGGGGTAAATGGTGAAGTATAGAATCAGATTTTGTTGCCCTAGGAGCTGGTTATATAAGGTTCGTTTCCTTTCATTTATAAGCAGAGATTAGAGACCTGAAAAGGGAGCAAACGGCTGAAACCATACACAATGATATAGGTCCCAAAATTAGAAAGAAAAAAGATACAAAAAAAACCATCAAGTACTGTTCTATTGTAGCTGGTTTGTTGATATTTTTTGGGTTTTAAAAGCTAGGATAATTTGTTGTTTACTTATGGGTTCCAAAACATGAAAAGCTGATTGATGAACTGTTGTTGGTTGTTGTTTTAAGATCTGCTGAGATTGTTAGTTCTTTGCTAAATTACTGTGACTATTTTGGTTGTTTCAGGTATGTTTCGAACTTTGAAAGTGCAAAATGAAGTTGGAGTTGCAATGTTTTTAAATGAAATTAGACTTCCCTTCCAGATTTTCTCTTCTTTTATTTACCATTACATGTATTAATTAGTTTGATAGTCAATGTTTCTAGTTGTAATTAAATATCAGCATCAACACCCTATTCCCTAGTAAGATTCAGAATTCGAGTGTTCAAAATCTAAATCTGTATAGTATTCTATTTTGGAACAATGTTAAATTATGGTTGGTAAGGCTACCATATGAGTCTAGGCAGCTGAATATTTTTGACACGTTTGGCATGAAATCAGTGAATATTCATGCTTAAAGGAATGGAATTGGACAGAGTTGAGTCCATGTTAGTAAATGTATTTTTTTTATGTTTTTTGAAATCATGTTAGTGTTTGGTTAGAAGTCATGAATTCTGTTATATTTTAAATAACGAGATAAATTGTGTATGAGTTGTTATAACATCAGGTGTTGCATCTTCGTTATAAAATGTGATTTGGCATCAAAATACGCTTTGCATCTGTTAAAACTTTCAAGAATTGTCAGTATTTGTTTTAATCTCAAGATTTCTCATGAAAAAATGTAATTTACTTCAAGTAATTGCAATGAATCACGCAACTGGGTCTTTGTCGTTGGTCCAGTTATGCCAAATACCCCTTGCTGATTATATGTTCATTCTGGGCTTCATGTTGAGCCCAACCGTCCCTTATGTTTTGTTATGGAAGTTTTCAAACGGCATTGGGCCTACTGCCAGCCCAAGCCCCATTTCAAGTAATCAATCACCTGATTTCATTCAGTGTGAATTCATTAACTATTAGTGAAAATCAACTTAGAATAAATTCGAGCTCCCTTAGACTTCTTTAATTAAATAGGACTTTTAAATCAAAGTAAGGTGTGCCATATTAAGTAGGACCTTTAATGTATGACCCTCAAAAAATAGATTAAAGCATCACTTGAGAAAAATAGATTCGAGGTGTGCTATAAGCAAATTAAATCATCTATGACCCTCACAAATATTAATTTAGATATTAAAACGAACTTCGTAGTTTTCTTTAGGCGTGTTAATTATATAATTATCACAGTTATTACTAAAACCCGGGGGTACATTTCATGTGGCCTGGTTCTAATTTCCAACAAGGTTAAATAGAACGTACCGTGGACCACGGGTGCATTTCATGTAGCGTGACTTGCGATGTGTTTTAAATAGCATTGAAATAATTCCTTAAATCAAAAGCGGTCTTAAAACTAAAAATGCACATAGGTTTAAAGGTATTTTAAAATCAGATAATTAGTCCAATAATAATAGTTGAGCGACCGTTCTAAAACCACGGAACCCGAAAATGCCTAACACCTTTTTCCGGGTTAACAAAATTCCTTACCCGAATTTTTATGTTGGCGGACCATAAATAAGAGTCAACTTTCCTCGATTCAGGATTTTAAACCGGTGACTTGAGACACCATAAATTATCCCAAGTGGCGACTATGATTTTCAATAAATAATCTCGTTTCGATTGTCACTTAAATTGGAAAAAACTCCCTTATACCCCTTTTCGGGGGTGGTAAAAAGGAGGTGTGACAGCTCTGACGATTCTGCTGGGGATCGAACCCAGAATCTCTGGTTCAGAGTTCAAGAATTCGAGCTTAGAATAATTGTTATATTTGACTTTATTTATTATCTGGTTTTATTTACATGTTTGGGCCTAATGTGCTAAATGTTGTTTTTTACTGCTTTGATATGGTTGAACTGTATATAAATTGTTACGAATCCCTCTTCTCTCTGAGTCTTCTAATCATTTGAGAAGGGTGCACTTCGTGTAGCTTCTCTTCTGTTAGAGTCATATCCCAATTTTAGAACGAGGTTCAGACAAGTTGCAAATCCGGTGAAGCTTCTGTATTCCCGGTACGCTACCCTCCCCGGCTCGAGCTGTCCGCTCGGGTAAGCCAGGTCTAGAACAAATAAACCCAGGTTTTCAAACCTAGTGTAACATAGCCTTATACCGGATCCCTAGTAGGAACGCTTGTTTGCATCATGTGCATTTTGACTTTGGGAACTCAACACAGGGGTTGGGTCCGTCTAGGATAGGAGAACCTGAAATCAAAAGACCATCCTGATAAATTCTATTTGCTACTTGCGCATTTATTTAACTCAGATTGCATGTTGACTGACTTCTACAATAAGAAAAAATTGAGAAAAATCAAATTGAGGTGAGTGAGAGGAAATTACCCGCATGTGAAAAACCTGGTGTCCAAAATACCCCAAAACTCTACCGAAATTTTCAGAAAAAAAAATCTATTTCAAAAGTTTGTGTTTTCTGTTGCGTCAAAATTGACCGAACTACGCAAATTTGATTTTCACCGGATGGGGGATACGTAGGCAACCCTCATCGGGTCCAACTGCTTTTTTGCAAAAATAACCCAACAAAATATGAAGTGTCGTTGTTTTGTCAAAAATAAATTAGGTGACTCCAGTCTTGACCAAATAGCCAAAATGCCCCAAAAATGGCGCAGGAAGGCTGTTTTTGCAGGAATAGCCACCTAGGGTCCTTTTTCAAATCTTGGTTGATTAACAAACACAACCCTAAAATTTTCTTTCGTGAGGTGCTTAAGGGCTGTATTTGCCAAACTATTTTGTTTTAAATTTTGTGAAAATTGGTGTTTTGAGTCAAAGTAAATCACAGTCTTTTAATCAATCACTTTAAATAAATATGCAGGATGAGCACAATTGAAAATGAACCTTTCACAGTCCGCGAGGAAATCCCGTTAGAACTACGTATGTGGTGGCATGATTTGGGGGAAGTCAGCTGAGATACTGTGATAAAAGCTTTGGGTGGTCTTGTTGGGCTTCTGAAGATTAAGCCGAGAAAGGATATAATTGAGGCATTGATACCCTTCTGGGACCCAACACATAATGTGTTCTTTTTTGCTGATTTTGAGCTAACTCCTACGCTTGAGAAAATAGCGGGCTACGCTGGTTTTAGTGGGAATATCAGAAATCAATACCCGGTGGCACCCAGAATAGTGACTCATAAGTTTCTGGACCTTCTAAGCATCAGTCGGGAAGTTCAAGATGGAAATTTGGTTAAGGGATTCTGCACATTCTATTTCTTGTATCGACGTTACGGGAATCCCCGCAATTTTGAGATGCCAAATACCGGTCTTACTCATTCGGGGAACAAATATAAATGAGAAGCTTGGCGGGGGCTGGCTTTTATAATGGCATTTCTGGGTGTTTTGATTTGCCCAAGAAAGGATGGAAACATAGAATTGGGGCTTGTGGGGATAGTCGACTTCATGACTAAAAGGGCAAATGGCACCATTGTACTGATGATCTTGGCAGAGATTTACCGAGCTCTAACTGTTTTCCGAGAAGGAGGAAAGTTTTTCGTAGGATGCAATATGCTTCTACAACTCTGGATGGAGGAACACCTTTGCCACCGTTTGGGGTACATGAATTGTGGCATTTCCGTCTTAAATGCATTGAAAAACATGAAAACGGGTGGAGGGCTATGAGTTCCCGGATGGTACAGAAGCATGGTTTACACATTTGAGCTCCCTGACTGCAAACAAGATTGAATGGACATTCGGGTGGCTCCCGATCAGTGAAGTCATTTATATGTCGGCCAAAGTCTGTTTTCTTCTATTGATGGGTCTCCGGAGCATTCAGCCTTACGCCCCGCACAGAGTTCTACGCTAGTTAGCCAGGTACCAAACCATCCCACATGATGAGGATTTGATTCAGTAGGTCATCGAACTAGAACCAAAATCTGCTTTCCCGGAAGAAAGGCTGCGTCGGATTTGGCATCCATGTAGGTTCTTAGAGCCAAAGACTCAGGTACGAGATCTGTCCAGAAGCGAGTTGGAGCCTAGTTACACAACTTGGTACGGTAAAAGGTCCCAAGTCCATCTAGAACCCGAACGGCCCGCAAAAAGGCCCCATGTCTAACAATTCACTGATGGAGCGCAGGAGCAATGAGATTGTTTGGCAAAAGAGGCAAGCTACAGAGCCACCATATGTAAATTGGAGGGATAAATCCGGGATCTTAAATTTGACAAAAGTGTACAAGCCGCTGCTGATGAAGGGGAAAAGAAGAAATTGGCTCAATAACACAAGTCCCTTCGAGCAAAAATCTAAAAAATGAAAATAGCTGTTGAGAATCAAGAAAGGAGCCGAAAGGATGAAAGATTCATAAGTGGTCTTAAGAGGAAAATAGCTGAGTTGAGGATGATTTGGAAAAATCCGAGGGTAATTTGGAGAGATCCCGAGCATAGTTAGCGAGGAACGTAGAGGGACGAGCGGAGTTCGTTCGGCAGTTGAAAAGGAAATATGAGGGAACAATCACAAATTTGAAGAAAAAGACTAACTACCCTCGAGAATGAGATGGCCAAGCAAGCTAAGAATTTTAAAGCAGAAAGGGAACATTGCTATGCATTAATGTCCCAACTAGAGGAAGATATGCAATAGTTGCATGGTCAAAAACATCATGATGCCCAGGTGCTAGAAGCTAGGTCTCAGCAAATTGGGCATTTGTTCCAAGAAAAGGGTATCATCAATGAGAGGATTAGAGCAATTGCTGACTACATCGTCATGAAGTGCCATGAATGTGAAGACATGACTAGAACCACCTTTCGTTGCTGCGGTAATTACTTTTGTTCGTCAAATAATGAGTGACCTGGAGCGTCTTCAAAGGGATCTTGCGCATAGGCCCGTGGCGAGACCGACTAATGTCCCACGGTCCCCTGGAGCAATTGAGGCACTTATGTATTCATGATTTTCATTCGAGTCTGTATTTTCACCTTTCTTCCAGAGTCTGTTAGTCCTTTTTCGAGTCTGTATTTTTTGTTTTTCTATGAGAGTCTGTTAGTTCCCCTTTTCGAGTTTGTTGGTTTTTATGATGAAAATCTGTAGAAGAAGTCGTTGTAATCGAGATGTTTTGTTTTTTATGAAAATTTGAAAACCCCAAAAAATGTTTATTTTATTAATTTTTATTTTACACTTATTCCCAGAACTACGCTTTGTCTGATTCATGCGACGTCATGATACGTAGGCAATCTCCATAGGATTCGATCATAACCGTGAAAAAAAAAGAGAAAGAGAAAAAAGAGAGAAAACAAGAAAAATCGTGGGAAGAAATAATGGCAAAACAAGAGGAAAATGAGAGAATAAAAGGATAAAAACAAGAGTCAAGCAAGAAAAAGCAGGAATGACAAAAAAAAAAGAGGAAAAGAAATTGCAATTAGTGGAAGCCGGGATGACGCAAGCAGCTTTTCAAATGCATAATAGAAATGGTTAACTGCTTAGGTGCATTGCATCCCCAACGTGCGGTTGCCTATTTGTTAAGCCGTAGTCGCTAACAAGTTTGTTGTTGTCATCAAGTCCAGGCAGGTGGTTAGTTTGTTTGGAATTCTGGC